CTCACCTCGGGTCTGGCAGGACAGAGAGGACATGACCCACTCGGCTGATGCGAAGGTGCCCGAGCTCGAGCACTGCCAAATCGGAGCCTAATTCTCCACAAAGAATAAAGGTGAAATAAAGGTAAGGAGCGTGGGCGACGCTCTCGCCCACAGGACTTTCTGCTGGCACGTTCTTTGCGGCACAAACCCACCGTTCTGCTCGTTCCCTCATTCCCAGCTGCAGAGCCGGAGGATGGCTGCGCTCCTCCCCCCCCACGCCGCATTTCCCCAACTACTTTATAAATGAAAAACCTTCTTTGCATCGTGGTGCCACAAAACCCACTAAAAACACTTTCCCAGGGGTTAAACCAAACCCTGGCAACCTCCAAAGGAACAGGGGGCACCGCTTGGGCACCGCAGGAGATGCTCCCGCCCCCCCGCCGCAGGTACCCCCGTCTGGCCCCCCCGTCCCCCCCAGGTTTAGGGAAGGTTTCTCGGTGGTAGCAGAGCTCGAGTTACTGTGATCTAATTTACCATTTTAGTGGGATTTAACGTGATCGCTGTTCAATTTAATGGAAGGCTACGGGCAAGGAGGAGCCCGGCCCAGCTGGCCCGGGGGTGGCTGTGCCCGAGGACGTGCCGGGCTCCCCCGGGGGGGATGCTGTCACTCGGGGGTGACCGGCCACAGACCTGCGTCCTGCCACCAAAACCGTGTTTGCTGCCAAAGCTGCTGCCCCCCAACCCCTGCCAGGAGCTGGTGACCCCCGGGGGCTCCAATGGATGCTGAGACGAGACCCCTGTTGTGACCCTGTCCCTGGGAAAGCCGTGGGTCGGGGGGCTCCCCCCGGCTGAGGACACGCTCCTACAAAGGGCCGATGCTGGCCCAGGCCACCTGCACACCCCCGGCGGAGCCGCGCTGGCCGGACAGCGGGACACATGGCGTCGGGAGGCCGGTGTGGGCCAGCAGGGCCACCAAGCCGGGGCCGGGAGCGCGGCGTGTACCGGGAACCCCCGGCACGGCCCGGTGCAGCCCGTGGCGCTGCCGGGTCGGGACCCAGCGGGAGGCTGGGATCCGGGATGCCACCTTCCACTGCCATCACTCCCCCTCCTCTGCCCACACAGGCTGCTTACAAAGAAACTACTAATGATTGACTAATTAATTAATTATAACTAATTTAACCACTGCATCCTGTTGATTAACAGGGAGCTACTGAAGGGCTGCACAAACAGGGAGCCAGGGACGAGCCGCTGGCCCTGGCAGGGCAGCGGGAGACAAAGCAGCCCCCGGCCCGGCAGCAGCGGTGCCCCCCGGCCCGGGACCCTCCCGGGGGGGCATCGGGGGGTCCCCACGCTGGGGAGCCCCGGGGCACCTCTGTGCCTGGTGTGGGACGGGGCAGCGTGGGCCCCCCCGGAGTCACCCCCCCATTTCATTCCACCCCCACCCCCCCCGGGGCACTTCCCCTCCGCTGCTGTGGATTCAGGGAGCACCCCCGG